TGGAACTACAGGCGCGTGCTACCACGCCTGGCTAATTTTTTAATTTATTGTAGAGATGAGATCTCGCCAAGTTGCCCAGTCAGGTCTTGAACCCGCAGGCTCAGACAATCCACTCACCTCGGCCTCCCAAAGTGCTGGGATGACAGGCTGAGCCACCGAGCCCGGCCCACACCAGAGTTTTGTAAAGCATTGGCCGAATCTCAGGCTTTTCTGAGAAAGATCTCATAGCAGGACTCGGGGAAGGAAGAGGGCTTGGGGAGCCACTCGCCAATTCATTATGCTCCGACCTATTTAATTCAAAGAGGACCTGTTGAGCCTTGGTCCTTCAACAACTCACGCTGTTGCCCTTTTCTCCTGAAGACCCCAAAGCCCTGAACAACTGCTCCTTCTGCCATGAAGCCGGGCAGCTGGGGCCAGAGATCCGGAAACTGCAGGAGGAGCTGGAGGGAATCCAAAAGATGCTGCTGGCCCAGGAGGTGCAGCTGGACCAGACCTCACAGGCCCACGAGCTGCTGTCCACCACCAGCCGGCAGATCTCCCAGGAGATGGGCACTTGTGCCTTCTCCATCCACCAGGTCAACCAGTCTCTGGGGCTCTTCCTGGCCCAGGTGAGAGGCTGGCAGGCCACCACAGCCGGCCTGGACCTCTCTCTGAAGGACCTCACCCAGGAGTGCTACGACGTCAAGGCCGCGGTGCACCAGGTCAACTTCACCGTGGGGCAGACTTCCGAGTGGATCCACGGGATCCAGAGGAAGACGGACGAGGAGACCTTGACCCTGCAGAAGATCGTCACCGACTGGCAGAACTACACCCGGCTCTTCGGCGGCCTGCGGGCCACCTCGACCAAGACAGGGGAGACGGTCAAGAGCATCCAGGCCGCCCTGGGCGCCTCCTCCCAGCGCATCAGCCAGAATTCTGAGAGCATGCACGACCTGGTGCTCCAGGTCATGGGCTTGCAGCTGCAGATGGACAACATCTCGTCCTTCCTGGACGACCACGAGGAGAACATGCACGATCTGCAGTACCACACCCGCTACGCCCAGAACCGAACCGTGGAGAGGTTCGAGTCGCTGGAAGGACGCATGGCTTCCCACGAGATCGAAATCGGCACCATCTTCACCAACATCAACGCCACCGACAGTCACGTGCACAGCATGCTCAAGTACCTGGACGACGTGCGGCTGTCCTGCACGCTGGGCTTCCACACCCACGCCGAGGAGCTCTACTACCTGAACAAGTCGGTCTCCCTCATGCTGGGCACCACGGACCTGCTCCGGGAACGCTTCAGCCTGCTCAGCGCCCGGCTGGACTTCAGCGTCCGCAACCTCTCCCTGATCGTGGAGGAGATGAAGGCCGTGGACACGCAGCACGGGGAGATGCTCCGCAACGTCACCATCCTGCGAGGTGAGGGCCGGCTCCGGGCGGGGCCGCCGCGTACCGCCCCCCGGGCCCTGGTGCTCTGGCCGCACTCAGAGCGAGTGCCTGGGTGCAGGCAAGACGCCAGGGGCTCACAGAGTCCTGTAGCCGAGCTAGGGCAATGGGCAGCTTTAGGAAGCATCCTCGCAGACCTCTTTGGCAAATTCTTGCAGCTTCTCTCTGCCTATCACCCGCATCTGGGTTTTGTTGTTTTTTTGAGTTGGAGTCTCACTCCATCGCCCAGACTGGAGTGCAGTGGCCGCTTCCGGCCACCGCAGCCTCGACCTGCTGGGCTCCGGCCATCCTTCCGCCTCAGCCTTCCCAGTAGCCGGAATTACAGGTATGCGCTACCACGCCCTGCTGATTTTTTGATTTGTTGTAGAGAGGAGGTCTCGCTGCCCAGGCGGGTCTCGAACCCGCGGGCTCAGGCAATCCACTCACCTCAGCCTCCCAAAGGTGCGGGATTACAGGCTGAGCCACTGAGCCGGGCTTGCATCTGGGTTTTTTTTACCATGGCATGGCTTAACTGAGTCCACCCAGAGAAGTAGGCAGACCTTGTCTTTTGGAAACTCTTCTTCCTCTTGTTTTCTCTCTTCCCACCCCCTCATGCGTGCTCTCAACCACCCAACCCTTTGCCCCTCGGAGGCCACACTCATTCACGCTCTTCTTTCTAGCCTCCTCAAATCCCCTGTATTAGGCAGGGCGTGGTGGCTGGCGCCTGTCATCTCAGCATTTTGGGAGGCCGAGGCGAAGGAATTGCCTGAGCCCAGGGGTTTGAGACCAGCCTGGGCAACTTGGCAAGACTTCACTGCACTCCAGTCTGGGGGACAGAGTGAGACTCCAACACACACACACACACACACACACACACACACACACACACACACACACACACACACACACACCGTATTCATTTACAGAGAAACAGAACCAGTCGTGTACAAATAGGTCGATATCACAAGGAATTGGCTCATGTGAGTAGGAAGGCTGGCGAGTCCAGAATCTGCAAGGCTGGTGTTCTAGTTTCAAGGCTGTCACGCAGGACAATTCTTTGTTACTCAGGGGAGGGTCAACATTTTTGTTCTGTTCAGTCCATCACCTGATTAGATGAGCTCACCCATAACAGGGAGGGCAACGTGCTTTACTGAGTCTACTGATTTAAATGCTAATCTCATCCTAAAACACCCTCACAGAGTACTCAGAGTAATATTTCACCGTATATCTGGGCCCTCCGTGACCCAGTCAAATTGACACATAAAATTAACCATCGTAAGTCTACCCCTTGTCAATTTAGAGCCGATACGCATCTCCTTAAACTTAATCTCCAAATAAAGACAAGCACAGCCAGGCACCGTGCCTCATGCCTGTAAACCCGGCACTTTAGGAGGTGGAGGTGAGAGGACTCCCTGAGCCCACTTGTTTGAGACCAGCCTGGGCAACATGTCGAGACCTCGTCTCTACAGCAAATCAAAAACTTAACTAGATGTGGTGGCGCACACCTGTAGTTCCAGCTACTTGAAAGGCTGAAGTGGAAGGATTATCTGAGCCCAGCAAGCTGAGGCTACAGTGATAAGTATGCCACTGCACTCCAGCCTGGGTGACAGTGAGACTGACTCAAAAAAAAAAAAAAGAAAGAACAAGGCGATAATTCCACCTATCATGATACAACCATCTATGTACAACTGAAAACACACGCATCTTTTCCCCAGAATCCTTGAGTGATTTTTATCATTTTGCTTGTGTCCTCTAACAAATACTATGACATAAAGTTACATGATAAGGGAATCAGAGAGGGAAGAGAACAATTATTTGCTGTACTCCTTATCTTCTCACAGTAATTTCGCCTAAAATGTGTGTCTGCTTGACCTCTCGGGTGCAGTACTCCAGGAAAGAGCATTAGTAGATAGTCTTCTGGTTCCGGGCTCGGTGGCTCAGCCTGTCATCCCAGCACTTTGGGAGGCCGAGGCTAGTGGATAGCCTGAGCCCGCGGGTTCGAGACCAGCCCGGGCAACTTGGTGAACCCTTGTCTCTACAATAAATTAAAAAAAAAAAACAAACTAGTTGGGTGTGGTAGCACATGCCTGTAGTTCCAGCTACTTCCAGCTACTTGGAAGCCTGAGGTGGAAGGATCGCCGGAGCCCAGTAGGTCGAAGTTGGAGTGGCCGTGAGCGTGCCACTGCACTCCAGCCTGGGCGACAGAGTGAGACTCCAACTCAAAAAAAAAAAAAAGAACAAAGTAAACTTGAAGCTTTCCTGATGACCAAGCCCATTCACACACTTTGTTTCATTTCAGCCCCAAGACAAGCCTTGCACAGCAGAAAAGCCAGAGACAAGGGGAGGGGAGATTAAGAAATAAACTTAGGGGGTCACACTGCATTTAAAGTCCTGCCCCCTGCCCCCATGGCTCTGAATGCTCACACCCAGTTCCTGCTCAGGAGAGAAGCCTCCAAGAACATGAACTTGCACATCCCAAAAAGACATTTCTGCCCAGGTCCTGCTTAGATACAGGGTATGGGAGCGAGGGGTGGAAGAGGGAGACGGCACCCAAAGAGTTGTCAGGGGAATCGTCCTAAGAGTAACCTAACAGTAGCCTTAGGAATTTACACGTGCTGCTGTCCTAGTCACGAAGAGCTCTGGAGCGAGGTGGGACCTTCGTCTGAGCTACGTCTGAGTCTTGGTTCAACACCTGCACGTTTGTTTAAATGCCTATTGGCCAGCTTTCTTCCTGATGGCTAAAATCACCACATGTAAAATCTCTCACATCCGAAAGAAAATTTCAGGGGCCCGATGCACGTCCCTCCCTCTGGGGACCTGGTCTCTCGTTCATTCACCCACAGACAAGTGTTGACAGGCTCTGACCCTGGAGCTGGCGATGAGGTCTCCCCTGCCAGAGCCGGCCTGCTCTCTGGAATAAAGGGAGAGGGACAGCAGTGGCCAGGGCCCGGGTAGAAGGTGCCAAGTGCTGACTGAAGAGTTGGAACTCTGAAACCGCACAGGGAAGGAGCCTGGCTTCCAATTTACTCTGGGTCTTTAGACAGAATCAACTTCTCTGTCTGGGGCTCTGCTTTTTTTTTTTTTAATCTGTAAATGCAGGGGTAAGACCAGCTGATCTCCAAGACCTATTCCATCTCTGATTGAATAATCCCCCACTTTTCTTTTTTTTTTTTTTTTTTTTTTTTTTTTTTGAGTTGGAGTCTCACTCCGCCGCAAAGGCTGGAGTGCAGTGGCACCCTCACGGCCACCTGCTGGGCTCCGGCGATCCTTCCGCCTCAGCCTTCCGAGTGGCTGGAACTATAGGAGCGTGCTACCATGCCTGGCTGATTTTTTGATTTATGGTAGAGACGAGGTCTCACCAAGTTGCCCAGACTGGTCTCGAACCCGTGGGCTCAGGTAATCCTCTTGCCTCGACCTCCCAAAGTGCTGAGATTATAGGCTTGAGCCACCACACCCGGCCTTCCTCCACTGTTTAACAGAAAGCCTATGGTACTTTCATAGTGTTTGTGCCTCTTATAGAATATTTATCTTATCCTACCCACACTGGAGGGTAACTTTTGTGTCTATGCTAGACAGTGTCTATGCTAAGACTATCAACTGGGAATTATAGACAAAAATCATCATCACTCATTAGCCACATGGCCTGGGGTAGGGGTCTTGCCCAAACCAATTACGAATCCACTAACACCAGCAAAGGGTGTCGGGCATTCTTCCATGAGTCTTCTTTTCCCTGGGATCTTGGCCCTTGGCGTTTCTCCACAGCTTCCAGAAAGATGTTTTGGTTTTTCTCCAGCAGCTCTGTTTGTTCTCTGTTGGAGGCATAGTCTGTCATAAATGAGTCTGTCCTGGGCAGAGATGGAAGCCATCAGCGTGTTTTCAATGTTCTTCAGGTGACCACAACCAGGTTTGAGAGTCCCTGATGCTGGCCAGTGCTCTCAGGGAGCAGAGAGGAGTCTGAGGCCCGGCTAATACCATAGCTAGACCTCAAATCCCGGGGTGCCGATGTCCAGGCCAGCGTGCCTTCCATGGCACCCGGCCAGTCTCTTCTGTTTGATTTCCTTCTGCCTTGGAAGCTGGCCGGTCGCCTCTGAGCGTGAGATGGACCGCAGGCCCCTCCTGCTGGGCGGGTGGGCAGTGTTGGTGCCCAAGACACTGGGTCCGATGCTCAGCCCCCCCCCGCCTGAGTGCAGACCACGGAACAGGCCACTGCACTGGTCCCAGACATGTAGTCAGTTGTGGCTGGACCCTAATGGCCCTGGAGAGCCTGATTACAGCCTGTGGCTTCCTGGGTAATCACAGCCCTTCACCCCAGACTCCAGGGAGCCCTGGCCCCTCAGCCACCACTGCCAGGCCCCCTTCTAGCCTGAGGACTCTCCCTCTGCTCAGAGCAGCCGCCAGTCTACCCCTCCTCTGGCCTCCACCCCTGCCGGTGTCTAGGTCTTGTTATTGGCTGGGTCAGGGGCATCCTGGCCTGGAGAAGGCCTTGGTCAGCCTCTGTCCACAGTCATCCCCCGCCACGCTAACCACTAAGCTACAGTTGTTGACTTTCTCCCCAGCCAGAATAGGCCATGCTGGCTCTCGGTTCTCTGACCGCGTGACTCGTGGCTGGCCCAGAGGGCAGGTGGGGCCCTGGGCACCTGAGAAACACAGCCCTCCGGAGTCCCCTTCCTGCTCTGTAGGGACCCCTCAGTACTCTGGAGAAGGGTGTTGGCGCCCTCCTCCCCCTCCAGGCAGCCCCCAGAATGGGAGGCCCCATCAGTGGGAGGCCGGGAGAGCTTCACCAGTTGCTGTTGCGGTCGAAGCAGAGGCAGTGGTGTCGGGGGAAGGAGCTTGGGTCTCAGAGCCTCTTGGCCTGGATCGGAATTCTGACTCCACCACTGTGGTCTTGGGCAAGTGGCCGCCCTCTGTGCCGTGGCTCACGTCAGTAAAATGGGGTAACAGGCCGGGCGCGGTGACCCAGGCCTGTCATTCCAGCACTTTGGGAGACTGAGACGAGTGGATTACGTGGGCCCACGGGTTCTAAACCAGCCCGGGCAACTTGGCGAAGCCTCGTCTCTACAATAAATCAAAAAATTATCCGGGCGTGGTGGCGTGCACCTGTAGCTCCAGCTACTTGGAAGGCTGAGGCGGAAGGATGGCCGGAGCCCAACGGGTCGAGGCTGGGGTGGCCGTGAGTGTGCCACTGCACTCCAGTCTGGGCGACAGGGTGAGCAACAACCTTCTGCCAGGGATGTAGCAGGGACTTGGTTGCGATTGTGGACAAATGGTGACTGCTCTCATGGTCCTTCCCTTCTGTGCCTGTGGGAGATTCGAGAAGGCAGGACCAGAGCTGTTAGCGCGCGACGCAGAGGCCAACTACTCAGGGCTGTTCAGGCAGGCCAGCATGGTGCAGTCCCATCTTCCAGTCAGTGACATGGGCAGCAAGGCGACTTCTGCTTAAAGCGCCTGTCGCGAGCCCACCTGGAGGCCCGTGAGAGGCAGACTGGCCCTGGATAAGGCCATCCCCTCGATGTCATGGTCTCCGCCTGGGACACCCCCACCCTGTCTGTTCTCAGAGATGAGGTCAGCAGTGGCAGCTGTGGCTTGGGCAGGCCTGGAGAGGAAGGGAAGACCCGAATCCTCTCATGCTCCTCCACGCACGCAGGGCTGCGACCGCCCCCCCAGACCAGTGAAGGGAACGGTGTGACAGGCTTCTGCACAAGTGTCCACTAGGAGTGTGTAGGCACTTGGGTCTCTCACCCAGAGCAAGATACCCCAGAGCTTCCCAGGAAAGAGGAGCCGGAGGGGGCTGGTGGGAGGAGGGAGAGAGGGGCCCTGTTTTCCTGCCCTTCCTGCCGACATGGAAACTCTCGAAAATCCCCACGGCCAGCCGCGGTTCACTTGGGGTCCCGGGGAGAAAGCAAGACGTAGCCGGGCTCGGTGGCTCAGCCTGTCACCCCGCGCCTCTGGGAGGCTGAGTTGAGTGGATTGCCTGAGCCCGCGGGTTCGCGACCTGCCTGGGCAACTTGGCGAGACCTCGTCTCTACAATAAATCAAAAATCAGCCGGGCGTGGTAGCAAGCGCCTGTAGTTCCAGCTACGTGGAAGGCTGAGGCGGACGGATCGCCAGAGCCCAGCGGGTCGAGGCTGCAGTGGCCGGGAGCGGCCACTGCGCTCCAGTCTGGGCGAGAGTGAGCCTCCAACTCAAGAAAAAAAAAAGAAAGAAAGAAAGACACTCCAGCCAGGCCTGGGGGCAGGGCGGGGCATCCTTGTCCAGATAAGACTTCTGGAGCCGGGATGGGGGTTGCAGACATGTCCCTCCAGAGAAGAGTGTGGACAGTGGAGACCAGGGAGCGGGTGGCAAGCCCTGGGGAGCCTCTGTTCCCCAGCAGGTAGAGGAAGACCCCACCAGTGCAGGGACAGAGGCAGGGGGCAAGTGCCTGCCCACCAGGGGGCGGGCGTGGCAGCAGGAAGGGGTCACAGAGCCGCGTGGAAAGCTGAGTGGAGGTCGCAGGTGTAGGAGAAAATCCAAGTTCCAGGGCGGAGACGTGCTGCCTGGCATTGAGTCAAGTGTGGTCCTCGCCGCCTCTGAATGGTCTCTGCGTCCCCATCCCTCAGCTGGCCTGGGAGCCAGGAGAAGGGACGGGGTGAAGACAGTTGCTGTGGCCGGGTCAGCCCCCAGCAGGTCCCGCCAGGCTGGGAGGCAGCTCCTGTGCGGGCATCCACGCATACCCGTGTTGGCCCAGCTACTGAGATCGAGGAGCTCCCTGTAGGCCCAGGGGGCAAGCCTGTCCTCTGGGCCTCTCCAAGGCCGGGCCGCTGCCACCCCCACCGGCCAGCGCCACGATGGCCTCTCAGCCTCCCCTGCGGGCATGCCACGTGAGCCAGAGCAGGGCCACATTTGCGTGACAGGCAGGCTGTGCAGGGAGCCGACTGGCAGGTTTTTATTGGCTCTGGTGGGCCTGACTCCACCTGGGCTCTGGTTTCCAGCTGAGGTCATAACAGAGGGCGGCATTCACTGACACTCTGCTCCACTTAGAAGCACTCCAGGAAGAAGACAGAGCTGGACAGCAGAGGGTAGGGCGCACAGAAGTGGCGGGGTGCTCGGGTTGCATCAGCCAGGACGAGGGACCCCTGTGCCACAGAACTGGATTTTGGCGACTCAGAAGGCTCTCAGCTCCCTGCATGCAGAATCTGCTCCCCCAAGAGGCCCACCTGGGTTTAATTTCGCCCCAGGAAGCCATGAAGATATCACTTTACCTCTCAGGGTCTTGGTCACCTTCTCTGTGAAAAGAAGGACTTGGACTGGGTCCTGTCCAGCTCAAAAACTCTGGGGCTCAGTTGCAAAGGGGCTGATGGACCCGCAGAGCCCCCCGGGAGGCCTGGGCATGGCATGAGAATTCACCTCCGGGGGTTCACCATCCCATCGGCCCTACCCAAGATCCCGTTCCCAGACCACTGACAACGTCAGTGCACACTGCGCCTTCCCTGTGACGGTGAAAACTGCTGTTCTTCACAACTGCCACCCTCATGAGCATAGACAGCTCTTTCCTCCTTCTTCTTAGTCCATTTTGCATGGCCACAGAGGCTGGGTCGTGTAGAAAGAAAAGAGGTTTATTTGGCTTACGGTTCTGAGGCTGTGCAGGAAGCATCTGTTTCTGGTGAGGCCTCAGGAAATCCAATCACGGCGGAAGATGGAGGGGGAACAGGCGGGTCGCAGGCGAAGGAGGGAGCGAGAGAAAAAAGGAGGTGCCAGGCTCTTTTAACAATTGGCTGTCACGTGAATTAATGGAGTTCTTGCGAACTCAGTACCACAAGAACCAAGGATGGCACCAAGCCATAGGGATCTTCCCAGTGATCCAGTTACCTCCCACCAGGCCCTGCCTCCAACATCAGGAATCATATTTCTTTCTTTTTTTTTTTTTGAGTTGGAGCCTCACTCCGTCGCCCAGGCTAGAGTGCAGTGGCACGCTCACGGCCACCCCAGTGTTGACCTCCTGGGCTCCGGCGATCCTTCTGCCACAGCCTTCCAAGAAGCCGGAACTGCAGACACATGCTACCATGGCTGGCTGATTTTTGATTTATTGTAGAGACGAGGTCTCACCAAGGTGCCCGGGCTGGTCTCCAACCCGCGGGATCAGGCAATCTCCACTCGCCTCGGCCTCCCAAAGTGCTGGGATGAAAGGCTGAGCCACTGCGCCTGGCTGGGATCATATTTTAACATGAGATTTGGAGAGGACAAACATTCAAGCTATATCAGTGCTCCTGACACGCCTAGGCAGAGGGGCAGCCTTTTCTGCTTTGTGTTCTTGGGGTTGGCACAGCTCTGTGGGGTGAAGACTCTCAGACCTACACAGCCAGAAGGACATGAGGACACGAGGTCATCCGACCCTTGGCATGGGCGCTCCGTGGGGCTCCCTAAGGAAGGGCCATGTCTTCATCTCTGCATCTCCCGTGCCCCAGTCCAGAGCACGGTCCACGACTGCTTGGCAAATCCCCCTTTTTCAACACATACTGAGCTTTCCAGCAAGGTGCCAGGCTCTGTGCCCAAGGCTGGGACGTGACACATGCTTCTCCGTATCTTTCTGGGACTCCACAGTCTAGCAAGGCCCACCAGATAGGCACGCAGCCTTTGCTGTCCCTGTGCTGTGACTTCTCTTCCTTTTTTTTTTTTTTTTGAGTCGGAGTCTCACTCTGTCACCCAGACTGGAGTGCAGTGGCCACTCCCAGCCACCGCAGCCTCGACCTGCTGGGCTCTGGTGATCCTTCTGCCTCAGCCTTCCGAGTAGCTGGAACTACAGGCGTGCACTACCATGCCCGGCCAATTTTTTGATTGATTGTAGAGATGAGGTCTCGCTGCCCAGGCAGGTCTCGAACCCGCGGGCTCAGGCAATCCACTCACCTCAGCCTCCCAAAGGCGCGGGATTACAGGCTGAGCCACTGAGCCCGGCTGACTTCTCTTTCGATGTGTCAACTAAAAGACTCGGGAAGCCCAAGAAGTCGTAGTCGCAAGAGCTCAGAGAAACAGCTGGAGTGGTCAGAGTGGGCTTCCTGGAGGAACTGCCCTTTCTCTGGGCTGCCGCTGTGCCCACTTACTCTCACTGGGACATATCTGGTCCTCATGTCTCCCTTCTTCAGTCTTCTCCTTCAGGACACCTGATTCCTCTGCTGTTCCCAGATGGCCCCGAGGTCATGGGGTTGGGGTGGGGGGAGTACAGGGATCAGAGACCCCGAGGAGGTGTAGGAGGTGAGATTAGCCTCGAGAGCAGGACAGACGCTCCTAGACAACCTTGGCCCGGGAGTGGTCCAGCTCTCCCGGTCCCCGACTTGAGTGTACGTGTGACACTGTGGACTAGCCTTGAAGTGAGAGCACAGCGTGTCTACCGTGCACTGGCCTTACGTCAGACGCGCATTGTCACCCAGAATTCGCGATGCTTATCCCACTGCACGGGATGGCAAACTGTCCTGAGGAGTCAGGCAACCGGCCTACACGCCCAGAGCCCAGAGGTGGCAGACCCAAGCTCGTCTTGCGTCTGACCTGCGGGCTGTCCCTGTGCCCTTCCTGTTCATGGACAAGCCTTGGGAGGGCAGCCCCTCACAGACTGACCTCTCCCCTCTTCTCTTCAACCCTAGGTGCCCCCGGCCCTCCAGGACCAAGAGGACTCAAAGGAGACACGGGAGTGAAAGGGCCCACTGGCAGCCGAGGACCGAAAGGAGACCCTGGTGGCTTGGGCCCCCCGGGATCCCAGGGTCCTCAGGGGCAGCCCGGGGAGGCTGGACCAGTGGGCGAAAGGGGGCCAGTTGGGCCCCGAGGGTTCCCAGGCCTCAAAGGCTCAAAGGGCAGCTTTGGAACTGGAGGGCCGAGGGGACAGCCCGGCCCCAAAGGGGACGTGGGACCCCCAGGGCCGGAGGGACCCCTAGGGTCTCCAGGGCCAGAGGGACTTCAGGGAAAACCGGGAATCGCAGGAAAGACGGGGGCGCCAGGCCAGCGGGGGGCCATGGGCCCGAAAGGGGAACCGGGGATCCAGGGTCCCCCTGGCCTCCCAGGGCCCCCAGGCCCACCAGGAAGCCAGAGCCCCTTCTGAGGAGGGTCCTTGGCCCAGACACTGCCACACAGAATGCCAAAGGGGGCTTGGAGCAGCTGGAGCCCCCAGAAAGCCTCACCTACAGACAGTTGGGGTCCTTTGATTCCTATAAGGGGGTCCCCCAAGGCTGACCCTGCAGCTTTGGCTCCCCTGTAGTGACTGTACCATAGGAAAGCAGCTCCCTTACACATGTGCGCGCACACACACACACACACACACACACACACACACACACACACGAACCCACACACATGTCATGCACAATTCTCTGCTGGTCAGGGGGGCCAAAACTGGGTTTCCCTGGCTGGGCAGGAGAGAGCAGACGACTGTCCTCTCCTGTCACTGAGCTGGCCAGGGAGGAGGCTACCTCGGGAAGAAGGCTTAGCATCTGTCTCCAAGTGGCGACCAACTCGCCTTTCCGGTGTCTTCACACCCATCCTGGCCAGCAATTTCCTGGGGCTCCCCATGGCTGAAAAGACCCAGGGGAGTCCCTGTGGGGCACCACAGTCAAAACCCCAGAGGCGAGGCGGATTTGCCACCCACAAGGCCCGCCCCACCCCCTGCTGGACAGTGGGGCCACCGGGGCTGACCTTCTCAAGCCCTGCGCATGGTGGCCCTGAAACGTTCGTTTTTTAACTCATGTGTCCAGAAAATTCCACTCCATCCTTACCTCTGCCTCTCAGGAGTGACCCAGATAGAACCCAAGCAGGTGTTTCATCTGCACGGGGAAACTCTCCAGGCCCTGGAACCTTCTGCCAGAGTGGTCTCAGCACGCAGGGAAGCCCAGAAGCTGGAGGCCAGAGACAGAGGCGGGCGAGAAGGCTCTCTGCCCAGCTGCCTTCTCCCCCCACCCTCCCCAGGAGATTGGCCTGCCCTGGTCCCCAAGGAGGCTTCTCTGGGGTGGCCACAGTGGACCAAGCTGCAGGAGGGCCGACCCCTCGTAACAGCTGGCTCTTCCCTCCAGTGCCAAGCTCTCTCTCCTCCTGCCGCTGCCACACGCTGACCTTACCCCACCAGGACCCAGGATGGCCCGTGCCCTCTCTGCACAAGCAGCCACTGGACCAGGGGTGGGAAGGGTCTGGACATCCATAGAGGCTCTCTTTGACGTCGCACCTCAGCCCCCACCAATGTCCTGCACACGCTGGCAGAGAGGGGCACTGGGAAGTCACCCGTCAGGGCAAAGGTCTCCCACTGGCTGCTCGGTCAAGCAGCCCTGTCTTTCCGTTCAACAGATTCAGACCAGCCCGGCATGGAGGCATGGAGCTGCCTCCCTGCCACACGGACTCAGAGCCCAGCCCTTCCCCACCCCATGCCTTTCTGCGCTCTCCTTATTGTCCCGGATGTGCAACTGGCTTGCACGCCCGTCCTGCGGCCACGTAACTCTCCTCGCTACATATGATAATATCATGCAACATCGTATTGCTGACGCAGTAAAGAGCTGTTCCCAGGACAGAGGTGTCTTCCAGTCCTTTCTGTTTGACCTGGGGGCATGATGCCTCCAGGACTCTGCTTCGTTCTTTGAAGGAGAACTGGTGACAAGACTCCCCTAGAAATGCAGTCCCCCTGTGGAGTCAGCCCTGAGCTCTGCCAGGAGTTTCTGCAGGGTCCGTGGGGCGGGGACCCAAGGCAGTTGAAGGAATTACTCCTCGAGTGCAGGAATCAAGCAGAAACCGTGAGCTCGATGCGTCTCGCAGCGTGGCCCTCTAGCTCTTGGGCTGACACGAGATTGGAAAATAGAACAGGCACCTAAGTGACACCTCCTGCTTCCTTCCCCCTGTTGTCTCTAACCCCAGGAGATAAAACAGACAAGGAGGCCAGGCCTCAGGCCTATAATCCCAGCACTTTGGGAGGCCAAGGTGAGAGAGGACTGCCTGAGCCCGCGGATTCAAGACCAGCCCAGGCAACTTGGCCAGACCTCATCTCGGATAAATCAAAAAACTTAGCCAGGCGTGGTGGCACAAGCCTATAATCCTATAATCCCAGCTACTTGGAAGGCTGAGGTGGAAGGATTGCCTGAGCCCAGCAGGTCGAGGCTGCGGTGGCCGGGAGCATTCCATTCCAGCCTGGGTAACAGAGTGAGACTCCAACTCAAAATAAAAAAAGCAGACAAGGAGGCAGAGACCAGGCCATCCCTTCCTCAAGAGGCCTTTCTCAGTGGGGTCTGTGGGAGATAGCACAGCTGGGTCCCCAGTGAATCAGCAAGGGCCTGCTCCAGACGACTTTGAAGGTGTAAATGTGACCTTGTGCAAGCCCAGGGCAGTCTTGCTTTGGGTTTTTTTTGGGGGGGGGCATGCTTAGTAGAGGAAGTGAACACAACAGTGGGATGATGAGGCCGGAGCCACGGCACACGGACCTTACCACTTCCTCCGTGGTGTGTGGCACGAGGTCCCTCCTCCCGTGGGCACCTGGGATATGGGTGGGGCACCGAGTGAGGTGCCACAGGAGTTGCAAGGTGAATGAGGCCTGAAGCCTGCCCTGGGGTGGCTCACCTCTCGCAGGGGACAGGAGCACAGGGAAAGCCTGCTCTCCATCCAGGGCCAAACAACGGAACAGCCCCAGGGATACAGAGGAAGAAGCCCCCGTGGGCGAGTCCAGCCGGTGAGCCTGGGCAGGTCCAGCAAGGTGACACCCAGGTGGTGGCACTTAGACAACAGGCCTTGAAGGAGGCAGAGAAGACGTGCCAGTGGTCTGGGTCCCCGAGCAGGCCTCCAGGAAACTCCTCATTGTCAAGGGCAGACCAGAAAGAGAGCGGGGTCCCCAAGGGCTGGGCCAGGCCATCCGGAGCAGGAAGAGCCTGAGGGTGAGGCCAGCCAGTGTCTGGAGTCAAAATCCAGAAAAGTTTACTCTGGGATCAATTTTCAAGGATGAGTTTGGGGCCAGAATGAGAGACAAGATCATAAGACTCAAAAGCTTAAGAGAGGCTGTGTGCAGTGACTCACGCCTATAATCCCAGCACTTTAAGATGCCAAAGCAGGAGGACTGCTTGAGCCCAGGAGTTTGAGACCAGCCTGGGCAACACAGCAAGACCCTGTATGCACCAAAAAATTAGCCGGGTGTGGTGGTGTGGTAGTCCCAGCTGCTCAAGAGGCTGAGGAGGGGGGTGGCCTGAGCCCAGAAGATTGAGGCTGCAGTGAGCCGTGATCGTGCCACTGCACTGCATGCACTGCAGCCTGGGGAACAGCATGAGACCCTGACTTGGAAAACAAAAACAAGAAAAGCTGAACAGACTTGAGGACATATAAGCAAAGAGGAAAAAACTCGTGAGTCCTACACCAGGGGTCCCCAGTCCCTGGGGCGACAGACCTGCACCTGTCCGTGGCCTGTGGGAACCCAGCCGCTCAGCAGGAAGTAACTAGTGGGCAGGTGAGGGGAACTCTGCCTTCTGTCAGATCCAAAGCGGCATTAGATTCCAGTAGGAGGCAATCCCTAGGTGAACTGCGCACACATGGGATGTAGATTGTGCGTTCCTTATGCGACTCTAATGCCCGATTATCTCTTTCCCCCCTGCCCCATGGAAAATTGTCTTCCAGGAAACCGGTCCCTGATGCCAACCAGATCAGGGCCGCTGTCCCACACAATGGCCACAAACTCGTGCCATTGTCCACTTGTCCAGCTTGATTTAAGCTCACAGCATGAAAGCACAGGCCATCGAGTGAACCCACTCATGCATCACAGACATCCCCTCCAGCTCGATCAGGGACGTGAAGGGGGGCATTCACGATAAGGTCGCGGCAGGTAAGAGCATGGCTACAGAACCGGAAGTCCTTCCGAGCTTCACGGTTACCCGGCAGGGAAAACCGTCAGGACCTGGAGCCCCTCTCCTCATCCCAGAGCCTCTCACCTCTCCAGCTGCTTCTCACCTCCTCGACCCTTGGTGGCCGCTGGTCCCTTCTCACTGTGCCTTTTTGTCTTTTTGCCCTTGACCAGCATTTTCTGTGGGCACACAACCCAGCAGAACAGGCCTACCATTTTCTTTTTTTTTTTTTTTTTGAGTTGGA